TGCTAGCCCTCTCCTGTTGCGCTTTTATTCGGAGCAGGTGGGACTCCTCGGAGAGCCGTGCGCTCATTAACCTCGCTCTCTCCCGCCGACCCCGCAGACGGGCTTTCCTGTGTCGAGGTATCAGCCCTTTCCGCAGGGCCTGACAGATTTGCTGTGTGAATCGGGCAGCCCCATCTCTCTGTCCCCACCACAGGCCCTTTCAAACGCCACCAGCTGGAGATGGGAAAACCTCAAGGTCTCAGGATGCCTGCTTGTCCCATCCTCCCACAGGGTGTCCTTTCCCTCCAGATCCTGTATCCTGCGTTCCAGGTCAGGGCTTTCCAGTACACGGGACGGGTCCTTCCACTGATTTGAGAGGGACGTCCCGCCAAGGTCAGCCCTCGAGCCCACGAGAGCTCAGCCCTCGGAAATTACACGACAGAGGCTGGCGAGGAGAATGGGCAGGCCTCGGATAATCTCTTGTGTGGGGCTTGCAAACTGCAACAACTTCTAACGCAGCTTCTTCAACAAAAAGAGATGAAAGAAAATTAAGGGGCCCTACCTTCGTGATCTTGGATGAAAAAAAAAATGTCAAGAAGCCTTTAGGTACAAGAGACAGCAAACACACAGATACAGGTTTTAATGGTTTGGCATTGCAGCCTCTTCCCACATAGAGAAAACGAAGAAGTAGAAACAAAAACAAATTCAACAGGTTTGATTCCAACACTGAGCAGAGATGTTTTTTTTCTGCTGCTCTGTTGTGCAAAAAAAGATTAATGTTTTTTTTTTTCATACTGCCTCAGTCGACCTCAAAAGAACTTTAGGAAATAATTTCAGTTTTTTTTTAAAGTCTTACTGTACTTCTGTTCATGCTGTTTCATGGTAACTTAACCAAGAATACATGACAGTCAGAGAAGACTTATTGAAGAGTATTTTCAATCTTTAAACATTAAACTTTCAGGTTGCGTTTGTGACAGCAGCATCATCTTGTTTTCTGTGTTATTCTCATTTTGTCTTTCTCTGCATAAAACGATTTACCAACTGTACTAACAGATTGTGACACAACAGATAAGACAAGAAGGAGGAGTGTTGGAAATAAAAGTTGCAGAATACCCTGAAGTCCCTTTGGTAAAGCACTGCATATTGAAGCTTGAGTTGTACCGACATGCTTTGCTTTTTCTATTCACTTTCCCAGAGGAATCTTTGCAGTTTTTTTGGTGGAATATTTTAAACCTTTATACAAATATTATAATAATAATAATAATAATAATAATAATAATAATAATAATAATAATATAATCAGTACAAAATAATAATAATCAGCACAAAATTTGCCCAAAGAGGACGCACCTTCTCCTAATTTTAATTCAACTGAAATAACTATTTACAGTAGGAGTCAAATGTCCCTATTCTGTAGTTCACAAGGACTTGTGAATCTTGCTAATGATCTGTAGGAACTGAAGCAATGAATTAAAGTAAAATAAAGAAACATATGGGAAAAGATCATTATTTTACACTATCATTCTTCTTATCTTGCAAGGGACACTGTATCATAATTAAAAACACAATTAAAAATAAAACACCCTAATGAGGGGATGTAAGCATGTGAAAGTGTGCCAGTGATTTTTTGCACAGAAATTGAGGCCTTTAGGAAGCACGCATCAGAAGAGAATGGTAGCGAGATACCACTGGTTGCTACAGTTCTCAATTATTAGGCCCTGTGATAATATCAGCTTCAACAAGTCTTTAGCAAGAAATGCAGCACAACAAAAGAAAAATGTTTATGATCCTTAACTTTGTAATCATCATTCACAGAAGCAACAAATGCAGAAGACAGAGGACCAGAAAAAGAGATTACAGAAATAAAATAAAAATATAAAATAAACTAAAGAAGGCAGACTTGAAATGTGAAAAATGAAAAATATTATTTATTTTTATAACTTTAAGAAGATCACTTCAATCAACAAATCTTGGAGACATAAAATACTGTTTGAAAGACACGTTATTGTATGTTAGTGATAAAACCAGGAGCCCTGACAATGCCAACAGGCTCGCGAGAGAGAATAAAACAGCTGATCTGTACCAACACAGTTCTGCAGTAATGTTGAGTAGCAGCAGAAACCAGAATCCAGTTATCTCCTCACTGACCTCACAAGACCTGGTCCAACACGTACATGTTTGTCTTGATTTCAAGCCGTTGATGTTCCCACTTTCATCATTTCTGCTTCCCACTACCTTTTGATCTGGGCCTTCTGGCCTTTAAGATCACTCCCTCATCACCGCTGCTCTTGCGTACTGGAATGCAGGGCCTGTCTTAGCAGAGCCCTGTGATGGCTCTGCCTGAACAAAGCATGTTTGTAAGCAAGTTGAGATGCCTCTATACGCAGACCTCACAAGGTCATTTGTCCCTTTGTACACGCCATGCAAGGAATCGAGGAATCCCAACAGAACTTCTTAAACATCTGCAAGTATTGCTTTACTCCCTTCTCCTCCGACTGCTGAGCTGCTGCTGCTCAAGTCTTTAGAGTTCATGGCTTCCTAGCTGATGACAAATAACCTCCCGAAGTGCAGAGCTGTAATCTGCTGTTTTCTATTTCTGAACACAAGGAAGGGGAGAGTGTAAAAAAAGTACAGGGACCCTGGTGAGCATGTTGGCCTTTTCTGGAAATAATTCCGATTTCTACTGAAGATACCACAATGAGCTACGAGTATCTCTTAAATCAGTGGTAAACATAATGGCATATTTATCATTATGGAATGCAATACCACAAAAATGGCAACAATGCATAAGTTCTAAAACAAGGAAGTATTAATTATGTTTGAGGAAACCATACACACTAAATACATCTCCATCATACAATGGCAGACTATACAGGTAAGTGCTCAAAACAGAGTTTTTCAAAGCTCCTTAAAAAACGTTACATGTGACGCTTAAAATCTGCTTCAATTAGTGTGATGTTAAAATTACTTTTCAGTAATAAGCATATGATAGAAAAACATTTTTGTTATAAGGCACAACCAGAACAGTCACAAGAATGCAAAAGTATTCAAAACTTAACAAAGAGACAAACTGCGTCAAATGTCGTTGTATGCATACTGTAGCATGTGTTCCAATTCTTATTTTCCAAAAGAATAGCATTTAAATGAAGAATGAGTGTGGCACCTGTTAAAACACAGAGAGGCTCTCATAGGAAAAACCTATGAGTCAGGTAGCAGATGTGCTTGGCCCATAACCATTTTTTCTGTATTTTCATGTTCATTTCTTTTTGACGTTATGGGGTCTCATGAGTTTGAAGAATAATAATGCCAAAATAATTACTAGAGATTGTATAAGAATGAAACGATAGCAGGAAAAATGCATTTACCAAATGGATTGCAGTTCAGATTGGGACGGCTTGTGTGTTGATACGATATTATTTTGGATGAAAAGATGACTAGCGTAAAGCTGGAGCAGATGACTAAAACCCATGAAATTTCTGACGGCTGCAAATTGGAGTCTGTCTTAAGGAGATCTGTCGCTTGAATTTTAAACGCGCTTCTCCTTTCCAGGGTGATTCGTCTGCTTTCCTTTGATACCTCAACGCTGTCACTATTCCGTCAAGCCAAATCAATAAATGAGGTGCAACAGGTCATTAGTCCTCAGAGGGAGTGACAGAGCAAACTTCTTCAAGTGGAAAACACTTCATCGTTGTTTACCAAAGCACCCGAGGGAGTGATTTATGCTTTCTCAAACAAGCCTGGCGCAGCGTCTTCAAGACTGAAAGCTTTTCCTTCAGAGCAAGAGCAGCATGACTCTGAGACCTCAAGACAGCCATGTTTCCATCACACTGATGTCAGCGAGGCATTCTTGTACGATTTTAACACCACACAAAAAGCACATAAACATCAGGAAAAAAACAAGACCTTGAAACTAAAAAGAAAGCTACAAAAGATTAACTTTAACTATGGCCCAGATTTAATAAAAAATTCCACCCATCAGCTAATTGCATTTTGCAAAGCCTGTACTTACTGGCAGCTTTTTGTATGATTCTGCCCAATGGAAATCTATCATCAACTACTTGGATTGTAACTTGCAATTGGTTGGTGATTTAAAGTTTTGATTTAATCCAGATCTCTGTATTAGAATGGAAAAACCTGTCTTTCAACCCTTCTTGACACTTCATTTAGAACTTCAGATGAAACCATTTAGACTATGTTCCATGTTTATATATTTATCTGTGCATATAGGTTTGTATTTTCTTTTTTTTTCATAAAAAAGTACTGCACAAAGACGTGCAATAATCAACAGCATTGATTTCCAACACAGCAACGATTTGCAGCAATACAGTACAAGTTTCAGAATGAGATGCTTGTAAGGAATTGAAAAGCTAGCCGCACTGGGACTCCTACTACCTCTGAAAATTACTGGCTTATTTTTATTTAGGTAAAATGTCTTCACCAGAATGTCATCAGCGGGTTTTTGCTCTAACTTTCACTGGTGGCGTAAACAAAGAAACTCTAAATTTCACCACAAAGAGGGATTCTAAGGGGTTTTTATGAGCCTCAAGGCAATTCCTTCCAACAATTCATCACATAGACACCAATGCAGCAGTCCTATGATTTATCATAGAGAGGTTACACCTATGCCCTGCAATGGACTGATGTCCTCTACAGGTGTACCCTGCCTTTCACCTGTTGGAAATGGAGGGATGGTCAGACAGTAAGCTCTCAAAGAGTGTGGAGCAGCGGCTAGGGCTCTGGACTTGGAACTGGAAGGCTGTAGGTTCAAAACCTAGGTGAGACACTGCTGTTGTACCCTTGAATAATTCACGTCAGTTGCTCTAGTAGAATACCCAGTTATATACTGTAAATGGGCATAAAGGTAAGTTGCTTTGGATAAAAGCATCAGCCAAGTAAATTAGTACCCATTAAAAACCCAAATACTAAACTGAAACAAATCAAATGACCTCATGTACTACATCCAAAAATGCAGCAGCACAGATCTTATCAAGACTGGGGCTCCAATTTATTGCAGTACTTACCAGCCACCTCTACTATATCTCCTGGCACGATGTCTCGAGCCTTGATCCTCTGGACGGTTTTCCTGTTCATTCGGAATACCTTTCCCATCTCCGGCTCGTACTCCTTCAGAGCCTCTATAGCATTCTCTGCATTTCTCTCCTGCCACCCCAGAGAAAAGACCATCAGTGAGGAACATGGCTGAACAGGTGCCTTGGTTCAATACTGACCGTGCATCTCCAAGCAGGGATCAGGGGCGCAGTAAGAAATTCAAGAAAAATCAGGGGAAAAGTAGTTTGAATCATCTCGTATTTCACAATTGCTGGCTTGGAGTATATCAGCCAACGTCAGGGTCTGGGTACAGTACCTCATGCTTCTGTCCTTGTTTGGAGTCAATACAAGGTCAGGGTGGAGCCGGAGTCTATCCCAGCAAGCAAGGGCACAAGGCGGGATACAATCTGGATGGGGCGCCAATCCATCAAATGGCAAAGACAGACCCCCCCCCCCACTCACACAACAGGGCTAATTTTCCCAGAAACAAATTAACCTACCAGCATGTCTTTGGACTGTGGCAGGAAACTGGAGCACCTGGAGCAAACCCACACGAACGAGAAAAGAACATACAAACTCCACGCAGATTGTACCCCAGGTGCAGAATTGAACTCGGGGCGGCAATGCTAACCACTGTGCAGATAGCACCCCAGGAATTGAACCCTGGGCTGCAGCACCGCAAGATAATACAAGATACCTGCAACCAGTAAAGCCCGGAACGGATTGACATTTTATGCAATTTGAGTTTTGTTTCTGTTCCTGCATTTATTTCATCTCATGTACTCTCAGACACTAGGCTCTTAACTGTCCTTGGATTGCGAATTCCCTGCTAGGTTAATTGTTTTGACAGGAAACGGTGATGAACAGACATTTCACAGACGTATTGTTAAGGAAGGGGCTGGGAAAAGAGAGACTGTATTTCTGTTGCAGTGACGGATTTTACATGTGATTTTCAGGTAACCATCTCCCCTGCCTCCCTGAGAGAAGCTTCACCCCTCTCGCCCGCCACTGCAGCAATGGAAACGAAGCCTTATCATGCTCAAACCACAACGTCTGTCTCATTTCTAAATGACTGAACCCGCCTCCCCTGTCAGCACACCTCTAATCAGATCGGTCTTTCGCTGTAAGTTTCAGAGTCCTCAAGAAGCTCTCAAAGAGCTCGCTTGCCTGCTGTATCCCGAGCCCGCCAGAATTTAGAACACAATATTGCAATTCCCCAAAAAAAATTGTTTTATTATTTGAATGTTTTGACAACCTACTAAGAGATGGGCAGGGCAGCAGAGAAATGCAGCCAAAACCTTCCACAACTTTTGTAAATGATAGGAAAAAATGTAACAGAACCGTGTGAGAGCACTGTATGTGTGCGAGGGAGGTGATCTTAATAAAGTGTGTTGCGTCGAGATAAATGTACATGACACACTGGCTGGGATGAAACCAAGCATTCTCCCCCCCTTTTGAACTGCAAATTTCAAATGTACCACAACATGAAGTCTTTCTAAAGCAGTCATGTCCACCCAGTGCAAAAGCAGTAATCAGGAACTGAGTTTGGACATTATGATTATGGGATGGGTAGTGTTTTTTTTTTTTAGTTAACGCCTGGTGCTGCCTTTTTAATAATAATCATCATCAGCACGCTTATCTAGCACTTTTCTGGACACTCCAATGAAACTGCTTTACAGTAATGGGGACTCCCCTCCACCACCACCACTATGTAGCCAGCCCCCACCTGGATGATGCAATGGCAGTTATACTGTATTGCACCAGTCCTACGGCCAGGAGGAAATGTGGTCAGGACACCAGGGTTAACACCCCTACCCTTTTTTACATAGTGTCCCCATCTCTACACTGGGGCATTAGGACCCACACAGACCGCAGAGTGAGCGCCCCCTACTGGTCTCACTGACACCTCTTCCAGCAGCAGCCTTTAGCTTTCCCTAGAGGTCTCCCCTCCAGGTACTGGCCAGGCTCACAGCTGCTGAGCTGCAGTGGGCTGCCAGGTGTGAGTTGCAAGGCGGCACAGCTGCTGACTTTCACCAGCGTATCGCTGCAGAAGGACTGGGCCTCACCTGCCATACTCCGATGACGGCGTTTGCAATCAGAATCAGAAGGATGACTATGGGCTCCACGAAGGCTGTGGTGGTTTCCTCACCTTCCTCAAACAACGCCAAGACCTGCAATGGAAAACACATGGCAAATGAGCAGCAGCAATGACAGAGGAGGCTGACAGAAACAGAACTCCCTCAGGTTACACAGCGTGTCACCACCTCCCTTTCACAGGAGGCTCCCATTCATCAAAACAGAAAGCCCTGCACACAGAGGATGTGCTTTCAACACAGTGATGTCACCTCATTCTTACAGGGTGTGACAACAAAATGGCCCAGGGAGTTATCTGTACATAATCACATTTCGATTCTGGGAACCCTAAACACTCACGTTGAGAGATGACTTTTTGCACAAGCAAGCCAGGCGCTGACCTCAATTAAAATTAGAAATGCTGAGAAAAAAAGTGGAAAACAGACTGACTTGGAACATTTGTAAAAAGACAAATAAAGCTGAGCTTTCACTAACCCCAGGCACAAATCAGCTCAAGACTAGCAACTAAAACTTATTTTACCAGGACTTTTTTCTACAAAGATACTGGCATGAAACAAGGGTAGGGTATGTGTCTGGAACAATGTTGTTGAAGCCAGCCTTTGAATTCTTTCACAACTGGATCCTTGGATCAATCCTCCAATATGTACCTAACAGATCAGACAGACCAAAGGGCCTCTTATTGTTTATCAATTTTATTTTTAACAACACAGTTCAGCCTGGGCTGCAGCCAGTCAGTTATATAGGACAATAACATTTGTGCATTTTGCAATACAGAAGAAGTACTGCAAAGTGTTGTTAACCATTAAGTAGTCCTGACCAAGTCAAAACGATAATGCTTCTGTATTTGTTTTGATAGCATCACTTTGGTTCAGGAACTGCTGGTGAACTATATCCGTGTTACAATGCAGCCTGTGTTACAGTTAACCCTGGAGCTGCCCTGAGGCGAATCCTGCTATATAAATACAGGTGCAGAGAGGGAAACAAAAGGACATTTATGTATCTAAAATTATAACTGAGAAGATGAGCTTAATTCTGCCCCCCCCCCACATTGAAAAAATAATTGAATGTTTACAGCCTGGAAATCAAGAAGCTTACAGTCGATACAACTACTTGAAATTGTTTCTTAGGCTTTTATAAATAATTAATATAACTTTGCCATTTTTTCTTTTAAAAGATTCTTCATTCATCACTTTCTGGTGTTTCCAGCGCACAAAAGAGATTGACGATCTTCAAGGTGACTTCAATAATGTTTCTTCATTTGGAAAACCAACACATTCTCGCCATTAACACAAAATTAGCACAGTTGCAAGTCTTGCAAAATTAGCCAAATTGCATTCATAAAATGGTCAGTCTTTTCACAAAGTGAAGGTGGACCTTAAGATGTCTGCTTGCATTGCCACATTGCTATGTGGGGATAATTGCCCTATCACTAAAGCGAGATAGGATTCTCACACCTTAACATTTTAATGATTGAGCTTGATTACAAGAAAAGTAAAGCATCTAATCAGGCACTTCCAAAATTAACCCTTTTAGGTCTACATTTGGCACTTATAACAATGCAGAATTCTAGATTGCATAGACTCAAAAAAATATCAATGTCATTTTAATGAAAAAGCTTATAGTATTACTTCTTGATTCCCAGTCACCACCCCTCACACATGTTGCTTCACAAACACTTTCCTGGTCAGAACTAAAATACACAGATTGTTAACACATCCACCAAATAAATTTGTAAGAGACCAAAAAAGGTAAGACTAGAAAGCAGAAGTGCTACATAGATTCAATTTACTTACACAACTTTAGATATTCTTAACCAATTCTTGATTACAGTGGACTATGAAGTTTGATTGCATAGCTTATAGAGTTTATCTCATGGGTACTTAAAATAAAACAATAAGCTGAGCACTTCTATTAATAACATATTAAACCTGCACAGAACATTTCAAGATAGTTCATTATAGTTTGAAATACACAAGACTAGAGCAAGAAATGCAAAGCTACACGGTTTTGGGGCACTTTTACAATGGATTTTGCTGAACGAGTGCTGTCAACTCCATAGTATATATTATTAAGAATTTCCCTATGTCGCTCATTTGTGGAACAACAAGGAGGTCTTTTTTTTAACAGGGCCAGCTAAACTTGGCTTGTGGTGTATAACCTGTGTTACTTTTCAACTTGTTTTGCTTTTTAACGTTTATTTCCACAGGCCATGGGGAGGGCTTTTTTTCAGTCCTTTCAAATGCTGTCAGATTTCAAAAAGTACCTTGTTAATGCTCTTCATAGCAGTTTTCCACCCATAATTCAGGCAGAAAGTTTTACTTTCTCAAAGCAAGCACTTTCCCCTCCGTTTTCAGTTCTCACCCTACTCACTTTTGCCATGCTCGTTAATGCAATCCAAACCACAGGCGGACCTCACACCTGCTCTCTGCACGAGGATACTCCCAGCTAGTCCGTAAGGGAGGGGCTGAGTACCTTGCAGCCAACTTTACACCCACAGACCAGTTTACACTGACAGACCAGTTTGAGGCTTAAGCACAAGACAGTCAAGCTGGGGTAACTCAAAATGAGGTTGCAAAATGGGGCACAAGACAAAATACTTTCAGAAAGTAGATACTGTCAAAGACACTACTGATGAAATTGCTGTATGCCAACTCAATATTGGGACATTTTAGTCAAAAGAGCAAGTTGCTTGTTGTTTAGCATCTAAAACATGACTCTTTAGTTGTTATTCTGTTTTGTGACCCCTGCTTTATTCTTCCCTAACTTTCCTTTTTTAGAGTGTTTATTATTGCAACTAATCTGCTGAAAGAGCTCCCAAAAACCATTCTATCAGATACATTTAAGAAAGGGCACTGGAGACAGAAATAACAGCATGGCAGTCACTGGGAAGCATGCTGCATGATGCACTGTGTCAAATCCTCTCTTTCAGTCTTGCTAAACCTTTCAAAAACAATTTCCGCTTGAGTACCTAGACAATGTGGCACATCTCTGTCATTTCTCTAAAAATAATCACAGGAAGATGAGAAAACATGAAATCATGAAACCATGAAAAAACAGGAAATATATTACTGGTTCTAAATACCTGTAAATGAATTGATAGTAGCGGCTCTCCCCTGTTTCCTGCCTTATCATTGTGCAACACATGAATTAAATGCAGGACAATTAAAGATAGTTCTAGGCATTAGAGCATCGCCAAAAATGCTTATTCTAAAGAAATATGCTTTGAAACACAAGCACACAGACTTGTTTAAAAAGAAATTAGGTAATCTCATAGACTGCTTTGAAAAATTACTGTTCTTTCCATCCATCCAAACATAAATTAAAATACAAAGTACTAAAGCCTGAAATGTCAAAGTACTCCAGTGAACCTGGATCATGTTTTTGTTTTACTGCAGAGAATGGACCTCTTCTTTATCCAGAATACAACCTGAGAAGTTGAAAGCCTAAGAAAAAATAAAAGACACACTGAAGGTGGAAAACAACAGCATTAACATCTTTTAAAAAGATTATAGATAGTTCCTTTGGTCAGCACCCACTCCCTTTGTGAAAATCTTTCTTCATTACTGATTGTGGAGTTGTGTTGTACATCAGTGTGTAGACGTGCCAGAAAAGTTTTAATGGAAGGGCTACTAAATCTTTCTTTCAGGGACTGGATATGAAAAAACTTGTGTGTTGATGTACAAATTTATTGAAGTTCCAGGCATGGAACAAAGGTTGAGAGGTTGGCTTTTAAACAGCCATTTTAAATCACTAGGAAAAGGCTAATTGCTTTCTGAGATATAGAGGGAATATAGCCTGGATTTGTACGTACTGTACATACTGTATACACTGCATTTAGAAAGTATTCTCCCACTCCTGAACAACTGCAAATATCGCTGTCTTATGGGCTGACGTTTCATTGCATTTAAATTATTTTTTCACACAACACACTGGATGGACCGTGCTGGTGAACTGCGATTTTCAGGTCCTTACACAGATCCCCACTGTTGGCGCTTTGACTGGGCCACTCAAGGCCATTCATCTTCTTGTTATGAAGGAACTTTGCTGTCATTGTGACTGTGCCCTCGGGGTCTCTGTCGTGCTGGAAAGTGAATCTTTGGCCCAGGCTGAGGTCTGAGGCTGACCGAAGCAGGTTCCCCTCAAGGACTTTCTTGTATTTGGCCCCATTCATTGTTCCCTCTATCCTGATTAGTGTTCCAGTCCCAGCTGCTGAAATGCATTTCCATGATGATGATGCAGAAACCACCAACATTCATGGTAAGGATGGTGTAACTCATGTCGACCACATGCCTTCTCGCAGACTCTGGCCTGCCTTTAGCTTCTGTCTAGCCACACTCCTATAGAGGCCAAATCTGTGTAGTGCAGCAGAGATTGTCCTTGAACAGGTTCTCCCGTCTCAGCTGTGGAATTCTGTAGCTCTGTCAGGGTGGTCAATGAGTCACTTGTCTGATGGAGGTCCATCTTGCCCACGTGCTCAGTCTGTGCCGGTGGCCTGCTCTAGAAAGAGTCATGGTGTTCCGTATTCTTCTCATTTTCTAATGATGGACCTGACTGGACTCCTGAGAAATTTCAACATCTTAAGATATATTTTTATACCCCTCCACACAGTTGCACAGACACCTCTCTTTATTCCACACCCTTTGTCTTCCGAAACAAATGTAAAAAACAGAAATGACTCATTTCTAGGTAACCTGAAGTGAATTAGGTTATTTTGGGGGAAGAATAAGGGGTGGGACATTCATAAAGCATCTACAAAGAATTAAGGATGGACAGAAAGGTGTGTAGTGTAGGAAAAATACTGGACCAGAAAGTCTTGTTCAGTAATAATAACCTGTGGTGGCAGCTACAGACCTGTCAGAAATCTTGTTTTGGGTAACAGGCTGAAGTAAAAAAAAAAACCCTCCCCAGTAATAACAGTCTTAGCAGTGAACACATACTGTAGGCCAACCACAAGGAAACTAACTGACAACACTGGGGTTGTTGCTGTTGCATTTCCCATTCACAAAGAGAATTTGAACATAAAGAGGGCTGAGGGAGATGCCCCTGGTTGGCATAGCTGGGTGCACTGGATCAACTA